TCTTCTTCTTATCATAGCATACCAACCAGCGAACACCCAGCCAAGTTTAGTTAGCCAGTTTGAGTATTCGTTACATTTATATAGGCTAGAACGTTAGACCTTAAATACCTACTAGATTAGGTAAGGCGTAGGAATACCTACTAGATTAGGTAAGAAAAAGTCAGCTAGTAAGAATACTAAAACTTATTATAGTATATACAGCTCTTCCTAGCTATATAGTAGTACTTCTATATATTAGAATAATATATACTTTAAGGATATAATAGTACTTAATTAACCCTATAAATCGGTCTTATTTATATATTATTCCGATATATATATATACGGCTATATAGGCGTAAAGTATATTAGTAAGGCTTAAATACGTATATAGCTCTTAGTATAGCTTATTATATAGCTAAGTATAGTTTTATAGTAATATAAGTAATATAAGTTCTAGTCTATATAACGACTTTAAAAGTCTCCCTAGAGACTCTTATACTAAGATTAATAAATCTCCTTTAAATTTAGTTCTATCATTAGAAAAGAGATATATAGGTAAGCTATAAAGGGATAAGTAGTATACTAATAAATTAATTAGTATTATACAAAGAAATACTAGTTATACTCGATAGTATAATTATTATAACTATTATACTTATAAAAGGCTTATAGAACCTTTATACTACTTTTATTCTTTAAAAAATAAAGCTAAACTATCTAAGAAAAGTAGTTCTTAAATTAAAGGACCTAGTTATACTCTTAGTTAGGTTATAATATAAAATTTATAAAATTTATATAAAGGGGTTTATTATAATAGTATAATATAATTAGTATAATTATAGGTCGTTTAATATTATTTATATTAAGGTTATAAATATAATACTTTTAAACTACTTAACGTTTTTTTATATAATATATTGGGTTGAAAGGGTATTGGGTACTGAAGGTCATGGAGAATTGATTGCATTGTAAAAGGTAGCTATCTAAGGTGTTTATATAAAGAGTGTAAGGTTTAGGCAGACATGAAGCATTTAGGCAGCAGAACTATAAGTGGATCAAATAAGGAAGTGGAGCAAAAGAGAAAGTAGACCCAGCACAACATAATACTATAGTATAATTTATAGTAGCGTTTATAGGTTTTATTTGCTTCTATTTATATTAGTATTATTCTAAGTAATAAAAAGAAACATATTCTAGTATAGTAAAGAGTATAGTAGATACTAGAGATTAGATTAAAACTATCTTATACGCAAGTAATTTTACTATTAATTTAACTCGATCCCTTATATTATCTTCGTCTTATAGTAAACCTAGTTATCTTTAAAAATAAAGTATTTCAAGGTAAAAGAGTAAACGTTCTATTAGTATTAGAAAAGAAGAATATAATATAGAATAAATAAGCTAGAATATAAAGAGAAGCTAGCTAGAGGGTAAGTAGAGCTCTAATATAAGACTACCTATAAGTATAAAAGTATTCGGAATAAAACTAGCGCCTTCTATAGAATATACTAGTACTATATAGTAGAACTAGAAGTACTCGTATTATAATAATTAGTAAGTATATTCTAATAGTCCTAATAAAGAGGGTATATATACCCCTGGTAATATTAACTAATCCCGTATTTTAGCGCGACGAGTACTTATTAAAACGCTCCGATTTAAAGATCTCTCGAAATAAGCTTTAAATTAACGCTTAATCTAGTTAGGAAAAGGGTTAATACTCGAAGGTTCGACACCTAGTAGTAGAAAAAATAGTACAAAGTTAGCCCCGAATAGGGATATAGCCGGGTTAGCGACGTCTATATTAGACTAGAGTAGATAAACCGGGGTACTAGCAAAGTAGAGAGGGCTAGGGAGTATAGTCCTTTATATAAATTAGTAGTTATTATAGTATTGATAGCCTATATTCTATTCCTTATTCTATACCTACTAGCCTACTCGTTCTATACCCTCCTAAGATATAACAAAAGTATATTATAGAATAAATTATTATATTTGCCACTACTATAATAGTAGTCCTCAAATCTATAGTACGGCAGTTACAATAGTCTAATTGACCAAAACACATATTTAGGGGTTACCATAGCACACCTCGCAATAGAAGCAAATATCCATACAGTATTGAAATCCGCTCCTTACCCGGCCGTACAAACAACCCCCCCACGCTTCAATGCAAAAAGAAAATATCAGTCAGAAGTAGAACACGGCAACAAGGTAACACGGCAAGCTAATCATCTCATTGCGTCAACCTAGCCTAATCTTCGCACAACTAACATTGTATGTGACAATCCCATCCAACCACCACACCAAGAGCAACATGGCAAATTCTGCCTAAACCCCCCAAAACTATATACAGCCATGTAGCCCACAAATGTACCACCGTTGCGTATGTATAGACAAGACAAGACAATACAAAAAAGAGCCCTCCCTTCCATTGAATTCATTCATGTCGTTCATAATGCAGTAAACTTCATTCATAGACCCGGTTTGGAGAACATGTTCCCTCCAACCTTTCGCCCCGCCGCTTTTCCGTAGCCAGCTTTCGAGACATTGGACATGGCAGCCACCTCAGCTTCGTGCTTAGCACGTATAAGTTTTGCCTCTTTGACGCTTTCGGACTCCGAGACTGAGGATGAATCGCTATCTGAGTCGCTATCGGAAGCATCATTTAGCGTGAGCTTTTGAGACGCGGTAACAGGCTCAACTGGCTTCTTCTTTGGTGCCTCGTCCTCATCAGATGATGAAGCAACGCTATCTTCATCACTCCCTTCTGCTTCCGATTCTTCCTCATCCGAGTTTTTGTTCAACGTCCGCTGTAAAGTCCGGGGCGCTGCAATGCCATTCGTCGTCGATGTCGCCACAGTACGTTTCTCAACGTTCAATTGCGATAAGCTTGCGCCGTAGCCGAACTTCGGTTCCTTTTGTACACTAGAAGACGGTAGTCTAGGCGCACTCGAGGTTGGTGGGTATTTGAGAGAGCTCAAAATAACGGTTGGTCGAGCTTCAAAATTATCAGATGTTAGTTGAAATGCTATTTCTTCTTGGGTATCCCCCTCATCGGTGTCGCCCTTACCCGTCGTGATAGAAGCGTTATCCAAGGTTCTATGGTGAGGTAGTTGGGGACTTGATCTAGGAACTTCTGCTGTCTTCTCAGCTTCTTCTTCCTCCTCATCTGAGCTTCCGTCATTAGATTCAGAGTCCGAATCCAAAACTTTTGACTCAGCGGGAGCATCCTTCATGATCACGTCTTCATCATCTTCCTCGTCAGAACTGCTGTCGTCACTCGGTGATGCTGCTCGCTTAGGCTTTGGTATTCTCCCAGGCTGAGGATGTTGGCTGAAAGTGATGGGTGAACGGCTATCCCGACCAGATGAGCGATCGCTGGCATCATCAGCTTGTTCATCATCTGCTAGTTCCAATTCAGACGTAGTCTTGTCTGGGTGTATAGAAGGAAGTTCCTTTTCGGACGTTGGCTTAATTGCATCAGATTTGTCTCGAGGGGTCTCATCCGCTTTGGTAACTACTTGTGGGAGCGGCTTCGCAGTTTGCGATTTCGATTTCTCTATGAGAGTGTCAGAAAGCCCAATACAGAGATATTTCATGTTCATTGTGACATGGTGGAATCTTTTTACCTTCAGTCGATACAACTTTACCAGGGCTATCTTCTAAATCGGAATCTGCCTCAGAATCAGATTCCTCAGATTCTTCGGCATTAGCGATTTTTTCAGCAGCAGTTTTGCTTGGTGCAGCGTTGTCCATGGAAGGCGTGGATGGGACTTGTACAGATGCTGAGATCTTCTTAGGTGGGGGAGGCATTGCCTCTGACACCTTTTTGGGGGCAAGAGGGGAGGGCTTCATTGGCGGAGGTAAAATCTTGGGGGTAGACTTCCTAGTACTCTCCTTCAATCTACCCACACCAGGGGGTAGAATGGACGTGATTGATTTCCTCGCGGGTGGCAGGACTTTATTTGTTAGTGGTAAAATATAGCAAGGGTCAAGAGGTGACTTACTAGCAGCAGGTTTTGACGCTTGCTGCGTTGAAGGTTGGGGTGATGGCTCGGGGATGGATGATGATGGTATTGGCGAAGATTTTGCTGCCTTTTCTGGTACAGATCTTGCAGGAACAGTTTTTGGTGTAGAAGTTTGAGGGATCCCTGCCTTGCGAGGTAGCACCTTGGTAGGGGGCTTGATTGGTGTTTCCTGTTTAGTACCATCCGCAAATGATATTCGTCTACCTTCCTTCTGAAAAGGCAGTTTGGGCAGTGGCATTTGTGTCTCGATTCCAACGTCTGGCGACTTTGAATATACAGAAGGAGAGCTTCCAAGTGCCTGAGAAGATCTACTTGATTTGAGAGAAGATTTTCGACCACTAGGAATAAAAGGTGTGGAAGATTGTGGTATATTGGGACCAGGTGTACCGGAAAGTGAGCGTCTGTTTTGATGTGGTTCAGAGCCGTCGGATGCCATTTTTGACGCATCTTGGGCAAGTTCACATGCTTTCTTTGCGGCTGAAACTGATCTCTCACGACGTATACGCTCTTCCTCAACTTCCTGAATTCGCTTGGCCTCTTCTGCTTCAATTCTTAGACGTTCGGATTCTGCCTTTTCTTTTGCTAACCTTTCCTCATCCTTTCGTTTGGCCTCTTGAACCTTGAGCTCTGATTTCCGCTTTAGCTCCTCGGCTTCCTTCTTCTCATTCTCTGCAAGAACGCGCGAACGAGCAGCTTCAGCTTCAGCAGCCCGCTTTGCTTCGCCATCTTGCAACTTCTCTTGTTCCTCACGCTTCAACCGTTCTTCCACCGCGATTCGTGCTTCATGGGCAGCCTTTTTCTCTTCTGCTTCTCGCTGGCGTTTTCCCGCAGCTAAAGCTGCCGCTTCTCTTGGCTTCTTGCCGTTTTCACTGTCCTGTTTCTGTTTCTCATGACGTTCTTTGCTACTGGGGGTAAGAGGTAATTCTCCAGGAGTATTACCGTTTGATCCGTTATCGCGAGATCGTGAGTTTTTTCGAGAAGCATTTGGAGTGTTGGGTTTTCTATTTGCAAAGTTCTTCGCATAGTCTATACCAGGGAGACCGGGCTTTGAACTATTCTTGGCAATTTTCAATTGTCTTGCTCTATTCAAACTCTCGTTTGCTTGCGTGGCACTGTCAGGTTCGTCCTGCTCCGAATCATCAGATATGTCAAAGATATCCTTCTGTTTTGGAGATCGTCCATTTCCATTAATATTTCCATTAACAACCTTTTCGGCTGACTTCGGTATACCATTTGTCGAGGAGCCAAGACTCTTCCGCTTAACCGCCCCCGCCGGTTTTCCATTTACAGCCTGGCCTTGCTCTGACAATGAAAGCGGACTCGTTGCTGCTGTAGACACCGACGTTCCTCGTTCGCCTCCAGGAATATGATAGCTTGCACTATTCGCCCTCGGATATGATGTGTTCGGGATTTTTGCTTGCTCGTTCGCGGGTACTGCTATGGGTTTGAGTTTTTTCATGGTTGTACTACTCAATCTCTCGACTGGATTTGGAATTGTAGACTTTCGGGACTTCAAATCAGTTGATGGGCTTCTATAGCTAGGATGGTCATGCGGACTTGAGGGAGGAGGGGACGGAGTCTCGGGGATTTCTGGCTGGTCAACTCTTACATTTCGCACGGTGTTGATCGATCCAGTATTCAGATCCAAGTCCAAACTACCCTGCGAACTAGGGAACATATTCAAGTCGGCTGTTTGCTCATTGAGTCCTGGCAACGACGGTTCGTTTCTACTCTGTGGTCCATGTAATTGCGACGGAGATTCCAAAGAAGGCAGAGGAAGGTCAGGATCCGGACCCGATCTTCTCTGTTTCTTATTTGAGGTTGTCCGAACAACACTACTCTCTCTACCCCTCTTTCGACCCGTGCCTTGAGCATGATTTTTAGGGGCTTCGATCTGTAGCGGTGCAGATGTAGGAGGGAGTGCGGCAAAATTGTCTGGTCGATATCGCAAGGTGGAAGTAGGAGGAACCGAGTCGCGCGGATTTGGTCTTGCAGAAGCTTGTACCATGCGAATGATCTCGAGGTTTTGGAACAAGGTCCCTAGAATATCATCTTGAAATATATCAAACTCTTTCTCATCTTGACATCTCTTGATCGCAAGTGGCCTGCGCAGCACGAGCAAGTTAGCAAAAAGTCCACCTTCCACTACGAAGACCCGGCGCAAGAGGGAAAACATACTCTCCATAATTCATCTTATGAATTCTCGAGGCCTCGGCGCAAAACTCTCGAACGGTCGCATCTGGTCGGGTGACGACTCTAAAAGAGCGAATTGGTCTGTCGTTTGTCGCGAAGCTTGGAGCTGGGTAGAGCTGTACTCGGAGCGAATAACTCGAGGGCGGGGGTGGTTGCATGGCCATGGCGCTTATTTTGATGTTGTTGCAAACTATGGTAAGGCGCAAGTAGATCGCAAGACTGGCACCTCTAAGAGAGCGTAGTGGAGGAAAGAGGTGCGTCGCATTGGGGGGAAGAGAGTGGAAAGTCTGATGGAGATCGTTCTTGAAGGTGAAGATTGCACCAGGGGTCCAAGTGGTAGATTTGGGTGGTGGGTTATGTTAAGGTTCTCTAGTGTAAATTTACCTGTACCTGCTGGGTCCAACAGTGGTCGGTCCACTTGTACGCCAAAAATCGCGTGTAAATTGAGTTTGGAGGGTCAGAGCTTTTCGCGTTTTTTGCCAATTGAGCAGTCTGGAAGCAGGTACAAGGTCGTACAAGGTCGCACAAGGACGAGCCAGTGTAGGTGTGAGGTGAATGATATCTGTACAAGTATTGCTGACAAAGCTCAGTGAATTGAAGTCTGTTCTGTCTCTAAGGTGCAACAACATGCGAACAAGTCCAATGGTGTGTTACGCGTTCTCGTTCCTTCAGCGAAAAAAGCAATTAAATGACGCCACTATAAGCCACCAACTGGCCGGGGAGATTTGATGCTCCGTTTGCTGTGCCAATCTGCAATCCGCCAGATAATCTGATAATGATAAGAAGAGCCGAGGGGTTTGGTTTTGGCTTTGTACAGAGATGTTGGATTGGCTCGAGTCTCAACGGCAAAGGTTGAATGAAACCTTCGACTTCGAGGAGAGGGGTACAGATGTCTTAAGATACCTGCTTGCCATACTTGTATTCTCCCAGAGAGTCAATACTCGTTGGCAAACGGCAGTCTGCACATTTCGAGATATCGTGCGTGGCCTACTGACTGCATTGCATTGAATTCGGATAGCAGTATATCAAACGACAAAAGCAAACGCTCACTTCCCTTCTCCCTCGAACCTGGGTTTTATCTGCTTAATAAAGTCCAATCCAGTTTCGAACTTTACTCCAAAGTTGAAGTCGTAATCCCGACTCAAAACTCCATCCCATACTCATACAATGTAAATACCCCAAGTATCAGTACCCCAACCCCCAAATCTTCCATCTCAATATATCATATCCCATAAATCACAATCCCATTTCCAAACCCAACTCCAGTACAAAAACACCATCCAACCCCCAAAAACACACACAATCAAACACCCCTCCCCCTCCAAAACACCCCCCACAC